AATTGCCCTACATGGCTTGTTTGGAAGTGAGTATGTTAAATATGGGTGGTGGTGGTACAGGTAACGGGGCTGCAAAGTATCGGAGCTAGCTAGAGTAGTACAATGATGATCTTGCTTCTCATTTCCAGGTGAGAGCCAAGGTGGAAACTTTAAAGTTCCCCTTCTGTTCTACAAGAACTTAGTGATAACTCTAAATCACTGGTTTATCTGGTGTTTCTTCGTAGTTACAAGCAGGCCCATTATCTTGTGCTGCTTGTGGTGTAGCTGCTGAGCACGTAATAGCTGTCACATTTACTTCCATTGCCACTTCCAGATCTCATTGATCTGGTTAAAATAGAGAGAAAAGGAGAGTGAGAAAGAGAGATACCATGGTTCTGCATAGCAGCAACCATGTAAGACAAATGGCTGTAATACAGTACTTGTTACATTTTATTTAGCCTCTAAACTTAGGAAATTCAGATTGCTTCTGTAGATGCCAAAAAGTGAAAGGAACCTGTTGAAAAAAATGGATACTTTTCCGTCTTTCCCTCCTGCTTCGTGTAACTCTTTGTTCGTGTTTGTTTTGCAGGTACCTATTTGCATTGCAAGTGAAGCAGGACCTGGCACAGGGAAGGCTAACGTGTAATGATACCAGCACTGCCCTCTTAATCTCACACATAGTACAGTGTAAGTTTGCTTCTTTCTTCTTTTCCAGGATGATAAACAGGATAAATTGGTTGGGCGTGTTTTGCTGCATTACCTGCTAGCAGCTGGTGGGAGACAGGCTTAAGCCATATGGACAATTTATGATATTTCTATATAATAGCATTAAAATACAGAAAAATTACTCTCATAAATAAAATTGAGCTCCTGGACACCAGATTTGCATTTTTAAAGCACAAGTTTGATGGTCTGCCTTGAATCCTTTTAAAAGCAAACTTTGTAGGCAATAACAAACAAGATGAATTCTCCTGAATTCCTGCATCATTATTTATATTTAACCTTGTACCATGTCAGCAGAGCATTCAAATTCCTGGAGATCTGTGTGCTGTCTAGAGAATGTAGTAAATAAACATGCTTAGAATGCCAGCCTAAGGCACAGTCCTAAGTCCTACTAAGGCACAAGGAAACTGGGGGTGGAGGAGGAGGAGATTTTAAGCTTTTCTTTTTAATTGCAAAGTATGCACAATTAGACTGGTCTGTAGACTCATGCATTTACTTTGTTCACCATATCGAAGCTTCTTTGAGCTTCAAAATCATTAGAAAGGCAGTGTACGTTTTCCATTTCAAGACTTTATTGAGAGTAAGAGTAGGAAAAAACACTTAATAGCATGTGTGATGGTCATAATAAACTATTGTTTTGAATGGTCATTGTACAATTCAGTATTGCGTATTTCCAGTGAAATGCTGTTTTGTTGAAATTGCAGTCAACAAAGGTGTTCGGAAGTTCTTTAGTGATGAATAAATCTCATGATCCTTTGTCATAGTCTGAGTGTTAGGTTAGTTTCTCATCAAGTGCTGTTGGAAAGGCAGGTATTGCATGGTTTTCTTTTTGCCATGGTCATCACTGCCCAGTGTGGTTTAGGAGCAATAAAGGGCTGTACAGCAGCCTCTGTGAAATTTTGTATTCCTCAAACCATTTGAAAACTGAGCATTTTTGCAGCAGACTTAAAGAACATATATATATATGTAATCCTTAGCTAGCAAGCTTTTTGTGTCTTAGTTTTTCCTGTTATGGTGTCCAGTACACCAGCTGTAGTTCTTTCCTTGGTTAAGCTAATTCTAACTTCCTCTCATCTCAAGGAAAAAATGTCTTGATCATTTTGGGGAAATTGAGTATCACTTCTTACACTGCATTCTAGGAGGGCGGGTCTTCCTACTAGATGTCTGTGCACTTAAGAAAGATGTTGGGGAGAGGATACCCTAATACACATGTCTGTCATAGAGATGCTGCTTTATGATCATCCTCTTTTGAACTCTTCTGATCTGTATGTTATTTTCTGTACGACTTCTACTTAGATCTTAGTTCATGTCTTACTCTTATTGATTACTCAGTTAAATGTTTACTGAGCTACCTACAGTTCTGGTGCCTGGGCTGCTGAGTGCAACCACTAGCTTGTTTTCCTAAAGCAGCAGCCTATGAGGATAAAATCCCAGGATGTCCTTTCACCTTTACAAGTTTTTTCTTTCCCTTTCCCATCCCTGCATAGTCAAATTTAAGTTTTACTGGGTGTTTTTCAAAATTCCTCCATCATACACTTGGCCATTCTCCCCAAACATGGCCATGCAGGCATACAAGAATCCTTAATTTTAAAGTGTACAAAAGCATCAAATCACCACCATTGCTCTTGTGCTGCTGAGATGTGTTATATTGTTGAATCAAGTAATTTTCCTCAATTCTTGGAAATGATCACGGTGCTCTTGAAATAGTTTTAGTTCTTTGTCCCTTTTACCTGTGAGCTTGATGTGCAGATTGATTTCTGAACTGTGATTTTAGGAATCAAGTAGTACTCTCCTTCTGGAGCGTAAGGAAAGATACTTCTGTACTGAAAAAAAACAACAAATTTTTCCCTCTTGTCAGAAGGAGAGAGGCAAGAGATTCATATGTAGAAGTGAGACAGTACCTACAGAATCTGACCTGATGCTTTGGGCAGAGGGATGTGGTGCCTCATGGTGCCCCTTTAGTGTTGCTCCCCTCGCCATCTCCAACTTCGACTTTTTTTGATGTTTTTTACCCACCCCATTTTTGTGTGAAAATGTTTGATAAAAACCTGAGCCTGAACTTTGTGGCTGTCTCATTTATTCATCCATTTTGTGTCTCATGAACATTTTTCTATGAAAATTTGCTTTGATATGAGTCTGTAGCTGTGTCTTACCCACATGGCTGTCTTTTGTATTTATTTTCTCTCTGGCTTATTATTTAGGAGCTAAAAAATATTACATATTTGTCTGCAACAAAAATAAAACTTGGCAGCTGATAAGAGTAATGATATCAAAGTGGAAGGACTGAGAATGTAGGAGATGAGGTATTGTATGTCTTATCAATGCTGTGCCTCCTGGCAGTTTCCATGGGGGATATCTGATTCCAAGCACCTTTATTTTACGTATACAGGCTTATGCCAATGTTATAGCCTGTTATTTTTTTATGAAATCTAATATGACAGCAAATAGGTTTCTGTTAAATTAGCATGTATATTACAGAATGAGATTTATATTTGAAACATTGTGTTTAAAAACACCTTAAAAGCATTGTAGAAAGTGTTAGAAGTGAGAGGACACTTTGATACAGCAAATGTGTAATCTGTAAGACAGACTGATTAAAGGGAAAAAGCTGGAATATAAAGCATGAGACACATCAGAAGTTCTAATGCAGACAGAATACAGAGAGTGGTGTAAAGCACTTGCAAGATAAGAAAATGGGAGCATCAGTGGGAATCAATCTTTGGCTAAAACACACAGGAAGATTTTAAAGAAGACATATGCAAGGCTGATAATATTCAAAATACAGCTCCCTATTTTTCTAGAGGGAGTGCTACTGGAGAGAAATTTCAGCTGGAGAAGGAGGTCTGGGGAGAGATGAAGGAAAAGATGCTGAGTACGAGGTCAGAGAGAACAAATTCAGAAGCAATTAGAAAGCCCAGAGGACAATTTTGATAATGGATTTGCAGTTGACAAGTGCGGAGAACATTATAGAAATCGTGTAGTGGTGAAATAAGTCGTACGTACACTTGGCTCCAAAAAAACACCCTACAGAAGGTGGTATAAGTACATCTACGTGCAGAAATCTACAAGGTGTGAACTGCATTTGAACAAGCCTAGGTCCATGCCATTTGAGGGGTTGCAAATCTAGGCAGGCTTATGTCCTTAGTAAAGAGGAGAAACCTGCATTTTTTGAGTGAGGGTTAAAAACGTTCCCCAAAGATTTGAGTCACTGGAGGCAAGTAAAATTGGAATAGAGCTGTTTCAGAGATGGGGATGAGAGGGACGTTTTTACAAAAGAGAGTTCTCAAATTCTCTGTGGTGTGTCTGTAGCCACTTGTCTCAAGGAGCAGATGGGATGAGGAAGGGGGTTGAAATAAGACAATCTCAGTTACCATCTCTTCCCCACCTCTGACCTCTGCAGCCTATTTGGGTTGAAAGGTTACTGCTCTGTCATTCACAGATGCTTTGGTCCTCGTCTTCCTTGTCCTACATGAGTTTATTGCTCCCCCCTCCACATTTGCAGGTATAACTGCTAACAGGCAAACTTTTGTTGGAAATCAGCTGCAGTGTTTTAAGCATCTTCTTAAACTTTTCTTTTATCTAAGCCAGCTCATTTTGGACATAACTGGTTTAAGAGATCATTCACATGGGCAGAACTGAGGTGAGGATGAGGCAAGGATCTGAGCTTGGGTCTGTGACATCCTGCGTTAGCCACAGAACGATACGTCTGACTGCAGCCTGGATTTAATTTGAGGGAGCTGCGTTTTAATTTCACCAACATTATTAAGGTAGCAGCCTTCGTTGTAGCATTCGTTTGTATTACACCGGCAGGTCTGCAGGCAGCGGCTGATACCTCACTCTGTGAAAAGCCTAATAGCAAGATTTTTAAGAAGCATTCCAAGAATAGCAGGCAACAAGATAGTAATCTGGCACCCACACACAGATTGCCTGGCCCCCTACCCCCTGAAAAAAAAAGGAAAGCTCACTGAATGGGCTGCAAAGTGGAAGGTGGGTGTGACATACTGTTGCACACACATTATTGAATAACTGCAGCAGATGGGAGCAACTTTGAGGAGGAGGGAGACAGAATGTGTCTCAAACTGCTGCAAAATTAGTGGAAGACAAATGTTTCGTAACCCGCTGCATTTATGCATTCATTCAAACATGTAAATACAACATTCTCTTCAGATTTCCCCCAAAAGATTACAGCATGGGGTATGGGCATGGGGAGAAACTTGTACTTGGCTGCTCTGTGAAAAGACACCTGAGCACCACCAGGGTGGGTTCTGCTGGGTTAATGCTGTTCTCCCTGTCACCCCATTTTATCCTGCACGCAAGTCAAGGCAGCACTGTGATGGCTTCATTTGTTCAGTTGACATCCAACATCTACTTACGTGGTTGTGGTGGATCGGAGGAGTCCTTGGGCTGTTTCTCACATCTCAGGTACTCACACAGATGAGACGGGAGGAATGCCTGGAAGATAAAATAGTGGGAGTCTGAGCCATGAAACCATGCAGCAACCTGTGATTGCTTCTCTGCCCTCTTCCCAGCCTGAATTGCCTGAATAACTGAGATTTAATTGAGTGTTTTAATAGACTTTTCTTAAAATTTTCCACAGCTGAGATTGGGGATTTTGATGAAAACATAGATCGTGAACACTTAGCGAAGAACAAGTATATACCTCAGCAAGAAGCACTAGAAGACAAAATCATGGAATTTCACCGTAATCACATGTAAGACTTTTTTAATTACTATCAGCCTTCTTTTCTTTTAATGTAATTCTAACTGTAAATACATGCTAGATTGTAAGTACAAAAGAGATTTGAGCTTCTGGGTTTCTCAAAGGTTACTTCTCAAAAAACGTCCGAGACTGTGAATTTCCTGAAGGTTACAGCCGCCTTTATCCCATCATCATAACAAGATGTTTAAAGAGCAATTGATTTTGATATTCACTCAAGCATGTCATTATTTTACAGTCTATTTCATCCAAAATGCTTCACTGATGATTTTGTGCATGCAGGTATGATTGCAAATGATGACTGATCAGTCAGACACTTGTGACAGTAGACTTTTTGATTTCAAGGACATCAAATGTTGTCTTTTCAACTTTCCATGCTGTATTTAGAGATGGATGAAGAAGAGGTTTAATGACAGTTTTAGGAAAAGCACAAAGTGCTTGCAGAATTAGGGATTTGGAGGAACAGCATTCAAGGTGACAATGCTTGGTGTCCCAAGGGCTGGAAAAAATAGAGTTAGAAAAGAATTAAGAATAAGACATACAAAAGTGGAGGGGTTTTTTTGCTATTGAAAATTGAAAACACTTCAAGACTGGAACAGTTTCAATTTGAACTAACTGGAGTTAGATATGAGTGCTAGGGAGCTCTACTGCAGTAATAATCAGAACTTTTGCACAGTTTAGTTTTGAGGAATTTAGTGCTTATGGGTTCCCAACATTTATGTGAAGATACTCATGTCCTCTGTTTTACTTTCATTTTGGTATTGCATTCACTTTTACAATGAACAACATCCTTACAGACTTCTATTTATTATTTTTTTTTTAGGAAATGTTGTTTCGGTGGAAAAAATAATAGAGTAAGAGTGACTTCTGTTAATGACTCTAAATCCAAGTGTTTCAGGTGTCTCAGAATTGGAGTTATCAAAATTTCTAATAGAAAATTTCCAGACTGTAAAATCTATGGACTTTTTTTTTGTATTGGTCTATACTAAGACAAAGTTGTTGTTCTAGCTGATAAAAAGTCTGTGGAGGTAGAAAGAACATAGAGATGTAATACCCCTGACAGGTTTCAGTCTCTGTGATAAAATGTCTCTTTGTTCTCTGGAGGACCTGTTGATCTCTATTAAAAGGTGTGAAGAATCTGTGTGTCTTTTCTGTTTTGTTTCTCAAGGGGACAGACACCAGCAGAGTCTGACTTCCAGCTTTTGGAGATTGCCCGTCGGCTGGAGATGTATGGAATACGCTTGCATCCAGCCAAGGACAGGGAAGGGACAAAAATCAACCTGGCTGTTGCCAACACAGGCATTCTGGTGTTTCAGGTTAGAGCTGCTAGGCTTTTGACATTGCACTTTATAAAGCAGAGAAATCTCTTATAGCAAAAAGAATTCAAGATCTAAACCATATCGGAAATAGTCTGGTCAAGAAAAATCATGAATTTCCAATTTTTTTCTAACAATAACTTTAAACCTTTTATAGCTTCACTGGGTCCTTAACTTCCAGGGAGTTTTACTTTGTCTACACACACAGGCTAGAACTTGATCTTCAACCACGATATGCTGTTCAAAATGCAAGCTGATCCACAGCTCACAATACGCAAGTTGGTCATGCTGACACCTCCTGTTTAAAGGAGCAGGCAGGTCTTGCAGGCATGGTGTATACTAAGTGGTTGTGAAGCAGTGACAAATAAAACAGATGGAGCACAAGGAGAAGGATGGTGGAAGTACATACAAGCTTTCTGTGGTGTTATTTTTTTTAATTTTTTTTTCAAAGTTTTTACAATATTCTTGTAAATATAATATTTACATTCTGCCTTTTCCAAGTCCATGAATTCTACCTCTTTCACTAAAAGACCCAAAGTAGTTTTCCTTAGATTTCTTTCCTCTCCTCTCCTGCCCTGGTGAGCCTAGTACATGTTCATGAACCATCATTAACAATTGTATCGAATTTTTGTTCTCCAGTTCCCTTTAGGTAAATAACAAATTGGGCTTTTACAGTTGGGGAGGTACAGATAGTCAGCTGGTGTAAACTGCTTTCACTTCAGATGAGCTTATGTCTACTAGCATCCTAAATGCCTCGTTCTGTACTGTGTTAAAAGCAGTAAGTGAACAGTTCTTTAAAATGTCCATTGTTATAAGCATCAAAAAAGACTACTCATTTTGACAGATTGACATCAGTTAAAGTAGTACAATGTTTCCAACCTTGAAAAATAATTATAAGTCCTCTTGTTTAAAAAAAAAAAAAAAAAAGAGCAACAAATGGACCCAGAAATGTCTGACCCAAATGCTCTAAATGGGTTGACAGTATGGCTACAAAACCAGAGCATAGCTTTAAGCATGAGAACATGAGGATATTGTTAGAAATGCCCACAATTCAAATAATTGTATGTTCAGGCCCTTCCCTGCTCCCCCACGGTATTTTCATCAGTTGAATTAATGAGTTGCAAAGCTTTACAAAGTGAGGAGCTGAACACACAAAGCAGCGTGGGCCTCGCTGGGTCCCAGCAGACAGCTGGGATCCTTCTGATTTGTACAGCTCTGAAACTCGGTTGTCTCCTCTTGTCGTAAAGTCTTTGAGACTTTCAAAGAGGGTTTTGCTGAACTTTCAGAAAAGCTGGGAAACTTTGCTGGATTGAGCTCCAAGACTGAGAGCTGAGAAGGAAGCTGAGGTCAGTCTCTGACCTAGCAGTTGGAGCCTGGCACTTCGACTTAGGGCTTTTTTCAGGCAGCTCATAGGGTGTGAGCCTTAAGCTCATCTGTTTATCAGGGATATGGCTAAGAGAAATTGAAATATAAAGACCTCATTAGAACAACATCAGTATAAAATCAAAATAAAGGCTCCCTCACAAATGGCATAAGCAGTAGGCGCACAGACTTACTTTCAAACCTGACGTTTATTTAGAAATCAGTGTTGGTGCTGCTGAATATTGTAAGGGAGGTTAGTTATCAGATTCTTAGACAGCAGATTGACTTAGCGGAAATCATCACGCTGTCAGTACTCCTACGTTTGTCTGGTGACAGTGCCCAAATCAACATGGGTTTCTGCATTTAGCTATCCTCTAGTCGCTGTTCTTTGAAACGTCTGCGCCATGCTGTAGGCATACATGCCTTGAAGTCTTTGCTGAACAAACTGGTGTAATGAATATTTTAAAACAATGCCTCCAATTCTAACATAGAGACTCCTCACCTACAAAGAGAGGCTGAGAGAGTTGGGGTTGTTCAGCCTGGAGAAGAGCAGGCTCTGGCGAGATCTTGTTGCGGCCTTCCAGTACTTCAACGAGGCTTATAAGAAAGGTGGAGAGAAACTTTTTACAAGGGCATGTAGTGAAAGGACAAGGAGTAATTGTTCAAGGCCAGGCTGGATGGGGCATTGGGCAACCTGCTCTCGTGGGAGGTGTCCCTGCCCATGGCAGGGTGCTTTGATCTAGGTGATCTTAAAGGTCCCTTCTAACCTAGACCATTCTGTGATTCTGGAGCATAGGGCTAATAATACAGTGTCTGGGAATTACTAGTATTCAGGAGAAAATTTCTCTCAGGCTTACAGTTAGCTTTTGTTGTGTATTTTTTTGCAAAAAGTGTTTTCTGACTTTCAGAAACAGGTACTTTATTTAGTTTCCTTTTATTTTTATTGCTCCCTATGAAAGGGCAAAATAGGCTACCCTGTTCTGCACAATGATACTGGATTATATACTTTCACATCTAGTCAGTGGACCTAGTCCTATAAATATGCTGGAATTTAACCATAACTTCCTGCCTTCAGTCACACCAACAAATGCTTATGGTTAAGAATGTCTGTGGGTGTTTGCACTACCAAAGGAGGAAAGATAAGAAATACCATAACTGCAAGTGAAGTGATAGATGATTAATGTATGGCAAACTTTCTGTAGTGGTTTTGATTTCTCCCTTCAGGTCTGTAATGCTCTAACTCTTCTGGCTTTGTCCTCTGCAGGGTCACACCAAGATCAATGCCTTCAACTGGGCTAAGGTTCGAAAGCTGAGCTTCAAGAGGAAACGTTTCCTTATCAAACTACGACCTGATGTGAATGTAAGTTCTTGTCAGGAATGTATGAAGCTGACAAAAGGTTGTTTGATAAATTTCTACTTGCAGATCAAACAAGTTTTTATCACCTCAAGATAATTTTTAAATTAATTGCTTTTGTTCGTTGCTGGTGTGTTACTGCAAGCATCAAACTGGCATCTCAGGTGAGCAATCCCAGCTAAGGAAATGTAAACTGAATGTCAGAGTTTTCTTCTGACTGTGCCTCTGGCATTATATCAGGGTTCTTAAGTTATAGTATTCACATTACTGTTAAGAGCCCTGCTTTATCCCTGTCATAGTTGTCAGGAAAAGAAAGTTTAAGCAATAGCTGTGATATTGCCAGGCAGGTCAGTGATGTCTCAAAAAAGGAAGGATAGGGCCTGTTAAGCCTGAAAGCCAATGAGTCGTGAAAAATCCCTTTTTGTAATATAGCACCAGCTTCACCAGTAAGTAATGTGTCTCTGTAATGTGTTTTGCTTGCTTGCTCATATTGCAAATGCTCTCTCAACTTTCAGAGTTCGTTCCAGGACACCCTGGAATTCCTTATGGCCAGTCGAGATTTTTGCAAGTCTTTCTGGAAGATCTGTGTGGAGCATCATGCCTTTTTCAGGCTGTTTGAAGAACCTAAACCAAAGCCCAAGCCTGTTCTTTTTTCTAGAGGTTCATCATTTAGGTTCAGGTGAGACCTCCTTTCTTCTTTCCAGCTTCGTTGCCTCCCCATTTCAAAGTCACTTCCATAATGATCTAGGATTAAACCTATCACTTTCAGCTTCCCTTCTTGAAGTTACTTGTTCCTTTATGTTTTCCATTGCATGTTCTCAACCAGAATAGTGTAGAGAACACTGGGAAAAAAAGGCTGTATTAATTTCATAGTAGCTGTTGTAACATAGCTTTCTGGAGATAAGATATGAGATCTATCAGTTCAAGCTGGTTTTACACCAAAAAAAAGTGTCCTAAGTAACACCAGCTAGTAACTCATTGGACCCTCTGCTTCTAGAAGAGAAGCTAATGTGCCAGCTTCTTTGGGAAGCTGATATAAACTGAGCAGCCAGAAACCCCTTCTTTGCTGAGATAAACTGTCAGTACACCCTAGCTGCCTTGCACAAATACATGGTAAATATGGCCATTCTAACTCTCTTCCCACTTTGTTTCCTGCTGTCAGAGTAAATTAATTAAGATAGAAAGACCTATATTAAGGTAAACAAGCTATTAATTTTTTAAGCTTCTGCCAGATTAAATAGAAAAATGCAGGTGCATTCTACTTACCTCCTGGTTTGGAGAACAGGTTTTGCCCACACCCTGCATTCATAGTGATCTGTACTGCATACACATGGTTACTTTTTTCAGACCTTTCAGTAATTTAGTTGAAAGCCTGTGATGAACAGGAAGGTTTTCTTTCCTCTATTGAACATTCTTGAGGTGGACGTTTCCTTTACTGCTCTCAGTTCCCTGTGGAGTTTATATCCTTGCACAATAGGAAGTGCTGGGCTTTCTCACTATGTTTTTATGGCATTAGCAGAAGGGGAGAGTGCGAGTTCCAGCCTAAATCTCTGCAGAAAATATGTTTAGTTGATGCAACTGAGCTATGAAATACATTTCAGAAGCTTTCATCTTGGTTGCAGGTAGGAGGAAAGGCTGGTGTTTAACTCTTGAAAGGATTCAGTAATGTTTGTTTGATCATGAGAGTAAAACTTAACCCCTACTTTGTTTTCTGTTGTGGTGACTTCCCAGTAATGTTGTACTCTGTAAAGGGCACAGAACTGAATTTAATCAGATCTGAAATCACATCGTAAAGTACCTCCACAGCAAAAAAAAAAAAAGAGGTAACATGCAAAAAGGTAACAATCTGTGTGTATATGACCAGGTCTCCTTTCTTATGATCTTATACAAGTTTCTGTTGAGAGTGACAAATAATTTTCTGGTTGTTGTGACATTCTGTGCTAACCACATACATGTTTATGATGACCAGGTAGTATATTTTATTAAATGTGACAAATTCATTATCTCAGATTAGTAATTTCAACTGTGGTTTTCTTCCAGCGGACGGACTCAGAAGCAAGTACTTGACTATGTTAAAGAAGGAGGGCACAAAAAAGTACAGTTTGAAAGGTGAGAGGAAAATAAATGAGCTACTCAAATATATATATATATAAAACTTAAAGAAAAGTAGTGGCTTCCAAGTAGTTATATTCTAAGAGCTTAGTGCCAGTACAAGTAAAAAATTCCTTCTTTGCTGGTTTGACAGCTTGTCATTTGTATAATATCCCCTTGGTCCTGAGCATTTTGGCAGAAGTTTGCATAACCTATAGTTTATTTAAAATCAATAGTCTTCAATTTGTTTTTCAGCAGTGAATGCCCTTCCATTGCAGGTAAATTCCTCTCATATTGATTTGCACCCTCTTCAGTGGGATTTGGTTAATATGTTAGCAGAAAGGGATATAAATGGATTTTAAGTAAGCATATTCACCTGAGAATAAAAAAGAAGGTAACAGGAATAGGTATAGCCAACCTCAAGGGAGAACTTAACTTGTCTTGCTTGTGGTGAGCTAAAATTCATGGCCAAAATGCCACAAAGACCATGACAACAGTTTATTGCTGATGAGCTAATGACTCATGTTCTAGTGACAGACCACTTCTGCTTCAGTGCCTCTCCCTTTTCTTACAGTGGTATGTTTCCAACACATAGCATGTTTAAACATTACAGAAAGGAGCATCTGTTTTGGAGCAAACTCTTATGAAAGCCACTATTCAAAGTTTTTTGTTTTCAAGGAAGCATGTGTCTTGATTCTTCTTTGTGGGAAAACTGAAATGGCTTCTTACTGTGATTTTCCTTTTATCTCCAGGAAGCACAGCAAGATTCGTTCCATCAGGAGTCTGACAACACAGCCTTCAGAACAGCATACAGAGGTGCCAAAACAAGTCAGTGATGTTGACGAAACCCTTCATCGTGCCTTTTAAATATTTCTTGTTACATTACCCACCACAGATAGGTGTTTTGAATCTCTAGGAACATACGTTTCTGCTCAGTTGCCACTTAAGTGGAAGCTCAGGAGCCCCAGGTGTTCAGGTTCTTCAAATGGAATACGTTAATTTCCACTGTGGAACAGAGTTGTTTCCAGACAGCAAGACAAGCATAAATGGTGAGCTTGTCTGAGCTGTACTAATGAGCACCTGAAAAACTGCAGCCCACTGTGTTACTGCTGGGGTCTCAGGTTGTTGCTGGTGATTGCACTTGAGAAAAGTTTAATTCTTTTCCTTCACTGAGGAGTCTTGGCTGCCAATGACAAAATATTTTGTTGTATTAACAAGGGATGAGATGAATTATTTCCTCAGAGAAAATGCAGCTTTGACCTTTTAAGCCATTATCTCTGGTAGATACCAAATGTGTTTGTCTGATGTTAATAGTAGTTATGTGTTAGGAGTTTACAAATCCGGTAGGTAGCCCAATAGAGGCAAAGCTGCAGCAGCTGCATGTTCCCAGGTCCAGCTAGTAGTAAGGCTGACGGTGTATTTACCATAGGCACCCAAACATACATATACCAGATACATATATATATATGTAATTATTTTTTATATATATACATATATATATGCATGCACACATGTACATGCAGCCAGCCATATAGGTGAAAACATCAGAAAACAACACTCACACAAACACAGGTAATACCAGCAGCCTCATCATATTCCACCCTGGCTGATCAGGATGAAAGTCCACTAGTGGAAAATACTTCTGTAATTTGGATCCCTCTAGTAAGGGTGTCCCCAGACACACACAACCATGGAGCGATTGCCAGGACAGTCCCCAGAGGAGCTCCATTTCTTTGAGTAGATTACTGGGGTTATTACCTCCCACCTACCAATGTTTCTCTGAACTCATCTGTGTTTGTGGAGATGAACCTTTTAGCGCATAACTTTACATTATAAGGTAGAGCAGGTAAATGCCAGGTGCAAGCTACTAAGTTAATATATTCAAGAATGTTACTTGCACTTTACATTCCTTGCATTGCTTCCTTTTGATATTCACAGACCCCTTCATTCTTCAAAATCCAAGAAATTCAGAGAATTCTGCTATAAATTCAGCCCACGCCAAATACCTTTTAGCATTTTAATATTGCTAAGACAAGCTCAGGTAGACGGAGCATAACTATTGCTCAGATACTGGCATATTTCTGTTGGCAGAAAAGCCAGCCCCCAAACCAGTGGCAGTTGAATGCATGGTCTCCAAAAGCCCACACATGTACCTTAGAGCTTTTCCAGTATATGGAATGAGGCCATGCAGAATTTGTCTTACATGTTAATCTTTTCTTTCCTTCCAGCTTCTCAGAGTAGTGTGAACAGGTCGATGTTCTTAGTGGCTGGTGTAGGGTGTGGAAACACCTCAAATCCCCCTCTTTGTATATTGCTGCATTTTGTCTCCCTTCTCTTCCCTTGCTCAGCTTACCTATTTTCCCCCATCATCTGTTCTTCAGGATCAGAGACCTCTTTTTTATTTTTCTAATTCATTTTGAATCTTGGGTTACCTTTTCTGCATCCAAGAGATTCCTGTGTTGCTGCAAGATGTATTGCAAAATTGTGGTGCATAATTACACATAGCCCTTTCCCTCTGGTTCCCTTCCCTCCCTACCCCTCCCCTCCCAAACCTCTTCCCTTTCTCTACCCCTTGCCATCCTTCTTTGTCTTTCCAGAGCTCTAGCTTTGCCTATGGAGATGACAATGATGCTGCAGCAGTGCAGAGCTGCCGGCAAGGAAAGGAACTGAAAGCTTCAACGGAAGACAATGGACAGCACAAGAGCCCTTCCTTGAAGAAGAGCCCCAAAGAAGGCAGAAAGGTGGACGGAGCAGTGGTGTCAGCTGTGGAGGAAGAAGAGGAGGCCTCTAAGGACAGGATTCAGCAGAACAGACCTCAGTCACAGCAACCAAGCACAGGTCCAGCTTCCAGGGCTGCTCATGGCAGCAGCACCTCCATTCCTTTCATTGACTGCAGTGATGTAGATAGCGAGTATGATCTCCTCAGAGGACAAATAACCCGGTCATATTCCCAAACAAATGACAATTATGAGGGTGATTTGACCAGTGGTGCCTATATTCACTATAGAGGTGATAATCTTAATAGGAGTAGATATAGGGATTCCTCAGCCTCTATAAAGTCTTCCCAGTATCTCTCTGAAGAGTACCTTGATGACAACCCACCTAATCTCTCCTTCTACTCTGGGGGAAGCCCCAGGATGCCAAGGCACAGCTCACTGGTTGACGAAATGTTCAGAGGGCCAGGGAGCCGTAGCCCACTGGCCACTCCGTTGCCTCCCAGTAGCAAAGGATCAAGCCCTAACATGAGCCTGAGCAGAACTGGCTCTCAGGGTTATGTCTCAGAAAATGGGCATGACTGCAGGGCAAGAACTGGGGAGGAGGACAGCCATGCCAGTAGCTGCCATGGGTATGGCAGGTACTCTCCAGGTTCGCAGCGGCCTCATGCACAGAAGATCCTAAATCTCTGCAACAAGTCAGCTACAGACCCATTTATCCTGAGCCAGATATCCTCAACCCCTGGGCAGGAATACAGGTCAGAGAGACGTTGTAAAGGAGGCGGGGTGGCCAAGATGTCTTCTCCAGAAGGCAAAATGATGGCCAACGGTATGCCAGCGGGGGGACAGTCAAAGCAGAGCCCAGTCATGCAGTCGCTGCATGCCAGTGGCGTGATGGACCACATGGCTGCCATCCAGGTGATGGAGGGCTCCACCAGCAGTGGGACAGAATCTAGTGATTCTGACTCCGAGATCATTAACCCCTTCACTCACCCCCTGGTGTTCGGAAATCCCATTGTGCTGAGTTCCTCTCCCATGCCCAGAAATAAATACTCCTTTGGCAGCCTTCAGCTTGATGAGGAGGTAGAGGAGGACGTTTCTGTTGGCCTCAGTGATGAAGATGGTGTGCAGGTCTTCAGCTGCTAGGCAGCAAGGCATACGAGACCAGTGAATACCGTGGGGCTCTTGAAGAGTGGCTGGTAATAAACTCAGAGCATGGGCTATTTCAAATGTTATCCTTAATACGAACCAGCCAGAGGAAAGGGAATACAGTAAGGATAAGTTTCAGTGAATCTTAACAGTAATTTGTCTGCTCTGAAAGGCAGGAGGAGAGGAAAATTATTACTGATTTAGGTACCTTTGTAAGACTTTATACATTCAACGTGTATGAAGTCGTATTTTAGGTATATATTGTAGCTTCTTTGACACTTGACTAGTTACATTGACAAAACAAACAAAAATGATATTGCGTAGGTACATTGTGCTCTTTTGTATGTCGAGTACTTTTTTTTTTCCTCTCCAGTATAAGGAGAGCTAATTACGAGTGCCTCAGTAGAGTTAGGGGAAAAAAAAATAAACTTACAGCCAAATGCAGGCAGCTTGGCATTCAAGACCAAGGATTGTTGAAATCTTGGAAAATGGTGGCAAATCTTTTCATAGCAAGAATGTGTTTGTTTAGTCTACTCATCTTCATAACCCATTTTATAATCTCGACTGATGAGTTGAGGATACAAATTAGTCATCTGTGCAGGAACAATGACTCTATTGGCTCTTTATTCAGTGAATAAAAAACAAATTGCTATTTTCACAGTCTGATTTGGTGATGGAGATTTTGAAAGTCCAAACTCCTCCTTAAACAAGAAGGAGAACAAGATGAAAGACAAAATTCAAGTAGAAAAAAAAAATAGATTACAACAGCTCTAATTATGAGTGGTATGAGTATTATTTGCAAGGCAATCCTTTCTACCCTTTATCAGTGTGGTTTAAAGATTAATTGAAGGAGAGTTGGTTTGTCTTTTTTCCCCTCATTCTTTCAGTGGTATTATTCACAGAGACATCAAAGTTCTGTTGTGGGTGATTTTTGGTGGGGTGGTTGGAGATGGTGGCTGTTTGATTTTTTTTTTTAATTAATTTTTTTTTTGCTTTGATCATGAAAAGTCTTTATCTGTACAATCTGTACAGGATCCAATTAATCTGTCATAGGCTATT